AAGAGAATCTTTTCATAGAAAAAAAAAAAAAAAAAAAGAATAAAAATTGAATTGTTTTTTTTTGAAAAATTATTTATTCATACCAATATGTGGTTGAATTTTTGATTGAAATTTTGAATGACGTTGAAGTTGATTTAAAGCATCATTTATTTGATTAGCTATTGAACGTAATCGTTGATGAATTGATACTCGTTTACGTTTGGCTTGATTCGGATCAACAACACGTAAACGTTCATAACGATTAACAAGATGAATACGATCACGTAATAAAACATGAAGATAATTGTATAAAGCATCTTGAATATTTTCTACCTAGAGATTATTTAAGAATAAACAATAAAAACAAATATTTAATCTATTTTGATGTGCAAAATACCAAAGAAAAGAAGCTTATATTTAAATATGTGTTGTTTTTTTTCTTTTGATCTTTAATAAAATATCAGCAAAAATAAATTAAAAACAATTTTAAATGAAACTATTTCTACAAATTATAATTAGAAAAAATTTAAAAAAAAAAGCAAGGATATTTACAATGATTTTCAATAAAACAGGAAAAGAAAAATGGTATTTCGATAAGTATCACATTTTCAAGTATACACTCAACTATGAATGCTCAGTTGAACAATGTGATTTGCTGAAATCGTCTCATTCATGAACTCAACGAGTAGCCTCTTCTACTGTCAAGTATGCACACTACCATTATTATAATTCAGTCTATTTTATGTATATAAATATATTTCTTTTTCTTTTTCTTTTTTTTTTTATTCGATTATCAAATAAACATAAATACAGATGCTTTATTGTGTCCTTGTTAAAACACATAAAATTGTTTCAATGAATGATGTAACAATTATTAGTCAATATAAATAACAGCTCAAAAAAAGAAAAAAATTTTTACTCACATTCAAAGGTTTTTCATTCCAAACGGCAATTAATTTTTGATTTGTTTCATTTTTTGCATTATCAAGTACTGCATCTAAATTCTTTTCATGTAATTCATTAATACGTGTTCGTTCTCGATTAGCTGTTTGTAATATAAAATCATATCCACGACTAAATTCAATTTCATTTTGTATATATTCTTGTTGTGCTTGATAAGGATTCATATTAGCTAATAATTGTATATCATTTTGACGATTTTGCCAACGTAATTTTAACTAAAACAAAAAAAATAAAATAAAATAATTTTACAAAAAAACAAAGAAAGAATTATTTTTTTTTTTTACTTGATCTATTTGTTCTTTAAATTTTCTTCTAAATTCATTTTTATCTTTTGTAAATCTTTCATGTTCATTAATTGTTAAATGAGATTTTCGTGCTGATGATAATTTAATTTCTTCTTGATCATCAGCTAAATCTTCGTCATCTAAATTAAAAAAAAAGAAAAGAAATTCAATAATTTTTGATTAAATATTTACCAGCAAAATATTCTGAGATTGTTTCCCATTGACGATTATCTTTAATCCAATTTGGTTCACCTTAAACAAAAAAATTATAAAAAAAAAACCAAAATTAAAATCAAATATAAATCATTTATTTTTACGTGATCCAAGTGACATAGCTATAATTTTTCGATGAGTTTCAACAGTACTTGTTGTTGGTGGCGGTGGTGGTGGTACACTAACAACTGGTTCTTCTATTGGATCATCTTCATTTAATGTATTATCATCATCATCATTTTGTTTATCAAGATTTGTTGGATAAACATTATTTGTTTCAACATCTAAAGAAAAGAAAAGAAAAAAATAAATAAATAATCTTTTATTTTTGTTTTTCTTATGTTTTAATACCTTTTAATGGACAACAAATAAATTCAATTCCACGAAATTTAGCTAAACCACACCAATCAGATGTCATTATTGAATTATTTAATACCATAGTTTTATTTGAACAATTAAGTGATGCTAATTGTTGCCATTTTTCAGCACGTAAACATTGACCTGTTCCAGTTATACTGTTCATTATACAATCACTAGTTGGTAAGGACAATTCTTCACGTTTTGAATTCATATATAAACAACGAAATGGTTGAACTAATTCTTCTGTTTGACTTTCAGTTTTACAACCTGGTATATCCTTATTATTTTTTGATGGTAAAATTTCACACCAATTTTTAAAACGTAATACTTTATCAAGTCGAACAATATTACCAATTGGAAGTGATGGATAAGCCTTAAAAAAATAAGAAGAAATTATTTTTTTGTAAAGATAAAAACAAATTTTTATTTAAGAAATTTTTACTTTTTGACAAAATTCAAGAATACTCTGTTCATTATTAACACATGAACTAACTAAATTTTCAATCCATACTTGTCGTTTAATATCATAATATAAATTAGCTTTATTACTATCGCAACCTAAAACAGCTATTTGAGGATAATTATTAACCATTGGTGTTTTGAGTATAACTGAATGAGTCTTGAAACAAAACAAAAAAAATAATAATAAATATATAAATTATTTATCGTTGATTAAAAGATCTAACTTACTGAATAGATAAGTAAGGCAATAGAAACAAGATTTAATAAAGATTTCATTCTGAATAAAATAACGAAATAAATCTGAAATGAAAATATAAAATGAATGAATGTTATAATAAAGAATTGAAAGCATTTAGATAATATGATCATGGACATTTTTTGTTTTTTAGGGAAAAAATTTTATTTTTTTAAGTCACGTAATTCTATCCCATCAAAAGACGAATAAACATTTAATCAGCTACCATTAGCAATGATCTAGAAACCTTCAAATCAATAAAATTGAAAAATAATATTAGAAACAAATAAAAATAGAAAAATTTAAAGCAAAAATTTTATTTTTTGAAGGTCTTTTGTTTTTTTCCAATTAATATCACAAATATTTTATTATACGACATCTAGTATTATTTTGATTAGTACAAAAAAAAGTGCCAATAGAGATATATATTGAATGCGCTTTACGGTAACGAGATTTTTTGCTTGAGGAATATGTGTATGTCAGAGTTTCGTGTAGAATGCAGTGAAATAGTAAAAAATAGTCTCATAAGATGAATTGAGTTCTTCTACATATTAATGATATCCTATTTACTAATTGGTCTAATTGACAGGTGACATCAAAGGGTGTTGATATCGCACTATCGCTGATATAAAGAAATGCCGTTCCGTTTCATCCTATGCACAGCTCTCTCTTGTAATTCTTACAATAGAAAGAATAGCGTCTTTTATTTATTGATACATTTTATTATGCTCTAATAACTACCATATATAGACACTTACAGACTAGAATAAAATTTTATTTTTGTTAATTCCGCTAAAACAGACCAGTAAGCCGTCTAAACGACAAAAATAGTTATATCTTTCCTTATAAAGAATGTATAGATAAGTGGCTATTTATCTCATGGGGACAGATGGGTTGTGGGATGGAACTGTTCTATCCTATAAGGATCCGTTGGTGCATATCAGAGTAGAATTTTTAATAACCTAGACAAAAGCAAAATATTTATAGCATGGAAAGCTAAAAGTAGATACCTCGCTTGCCTCTTTAAGAGATGTAATTGGAAGATCTTTAGTATAGAATCTGTTTTTGGTTATATCAGTATTATTATTGTTTGACTTGCTGATCGTATAGGAACAAACACATTTGTTTATCTACCTGTTAAATAATTGTATATCTCTTTTGTGGGTATAATTTTACTCGACCTATATGTACGACGCAAATGTTGTACTTTGATTTTTGCATACGGTCAAATCGACTTTTTTCTTCAAGGACAATTGTTAATCTTTTGTGGTTAGTCGAGATAAAAATTAAAGTTTTTTCTTTTTTCTATCTTCAAGATATTCACATGAATGTTTAATCATGACCTAAAATTGCAATTATCTTGTCTAGTGTGCATCTTAAATTTTGATCACGTCCATAATAGATTTATGATTGCTTCTTTTGATTCATGACATTCATTCTGCACAGTTTATCACATAAACTCTGACCTCCTTTACACTGTTTCGTGTATGATAAATATTTTTTTTGTTTAATATTTATTGGATATGAAAATCATTGTTTTATGAAATTTAGAATTCAATTTTCCGAATGTATTCGTTGACATTAGTGAAACTAAGTCATTTTCTTTGTTATTGTTATCAGTTTTCAATGTAGTATCTTCAAAAATGTATTACTAATAATACAAATATTATCTATTATAATTATTAGTCGAAATAAGTGTTTATAATATGAAGTGTAAAAAGAAATGCATGAATTTATAAAAGGAAAATGAGTTAAAATATAATTAATATAGAATAAATCTACTTAAGCACTTTATTGAGATAGGAGTAGTAAGCTAAATTTTTTATCTTATTAATATGCAATGAACAAATTCTTATAATGTTCAAGTGTAATGTTTTTGAATTATTAATTATCTTGAATAATAAAATACATATATCATAAAAGATTTCTAATGAGACACTATTTCGAGATGAAAATATAATCTAATTCGATGATTATATTATGAAACTTTCGAAATGATATGATCAATAAATTTATTATAGATTGATTTTAATCGACAATCATGAATTAATGACAAAACAAATATTGAGAATAATGAAAAACCAAATGTTAAATTGAAATATATTTATAAACATAATATTATTAAATTTCTTTTAGAAGAATTACGAAAAATACATTGAAAATATAACAGTGATGATTGTTTTTATACAATAAATAATTCATTATTAGTTAAATATAAAGTTTGTTTGAAAGATTTATTGATTTTTCTTTTTGTATCAATATTTTGATGTAACAACAAAATTAACTATTGAATGTTGAACAGCTGATCCGATAGACTTAGTTGCTTTTTTTATCAAGTTAATATTGGTGAATGTTTTCGAAATGAAGATCCATTAATATAAACAAATTTCATATTTATTTTATTTTGTACACAAAAAAAAAACCAACATTGATTATTATAAATAAATAAACAATTGATTATTTTTCCTTTTTCTTATAGATTTTTGTGCGAATAAAACAAGAAAATGTCATCTACTAATATATCTGATATATCATGGTATTATGATTTTCCACCATTTTTTACGTATGTATTATTTTTAAATTTAATTAACAATTAATTATTTATTAAATTTTCTTTTTCAATATTAGTCTTCAACCAAATCTTGATACACGTCGTAAACAACTTGATGCTTGGTGTTCACTTGTTCTTGATTATTGTCGTTTAAAAAAAATCTTCACATTTGATGTTAATGATGCTAAGAAATTTCCATTATTTTTCAATACAAAAATCAATCGTATGTATTCGATTTTCATAGTATCAATACGAAGCATGATCTAAAAAGAGTATTGAAGTATATAGGGTAGATATTCAAACCCTTTCTATCTCACAGACCGTAATGGGTACTTCGTTTGATTCTCTTCTTGATGGTTCAAATAACAGATATATCGTGTTTCACATAGGGATTGCGATGAGTTTTGTAGAGTTAATTTATTCTTTTTCATTTAGGTCAATTGGATAATAATTTTATTCAAGTTTTACTTGAAGAATTACGTAGTCGAGGTAGAAATATAGAGAAGAAAAAAACCGAAAATATAATTTATATATATTTAATTAAACTTAGGTAATATTGAATGGCAAGATAAAAATAAACGACATTGTTTAGTCTTATGGAAATCAATTGAAGAATGGGCTAAAACAGTTCATCATTGGGTATATTATTTAATTAAATATGCAATTTTATATTTTTTATTTATTTATTTATTTTAAAAGATAACATCACGAGGTATGAATGGAACAGTTTGTACATTCTATGAATTATTATATAGTGATGATACACTTTCAGCTGGTATGAATTTTCTTCATTTGTTTATTGTATATTAAAAAAAAAGATTTTAATTTATTGTATATTTGTAGAATTTCATAAAATTGATGAAAATCTTTTTCGTCGTATTCTTATGGAACTCGAAAGACGTGGTCAAGCTACTGTGTTTTCAGATAATGGAGCTGAAGGTGTTAAATTTTTGTAGAAAATAAAACTTTTTTTTGCATTTAAATTTAACATATTAAAAATAAATTTTCATTTTATAATTAATCATAAGATTTAATAATTTCTCTTATAATCGTTTTGCTTTTCATATGATAGATGAAAATATGAAAAAAGATTTTATCTAATATTCCTTTATTAAAAAATAAAAGCAAGTTCACATGATAATGAACAATAGCGAAAAAGAAAAGCTTGAAGTTTTTAGTACAAATCAGTAAATACATTTAATATGATTGATCTATAAAATAAATTTCTTTTGCATCGATTTACTTTTACTATGTAAAAAAAGAATAATCAGCAGGGTGTTGTTAATGATTGATTTCGATTTGAATCAAAATTCAAAAAGTACTCGTTAGTTTGGACTATTCAAAACATGTTAGGTGAATGAATTTGATATAAATAGTTTAATTAATTAGAATATTTCTTCCATTTTCAATTAGATACTTATTACATAGCCAATGACAACACCAGAAATTGCTATATCTAATCTTGATGAAAAAATAGAAAAAAAGAGTTTTAGTCATTATTATTATTCATATATGTAGCTTGTATATTTGGAAGAATTATTTATTTTAGTGGTAGAAAAATTTGTATGAATGATCATTTTTAAATTCAATGGGTTCAATATGTATTTCGTTGTAGTATTGCTCATACGCTTGCTTTTGATGTAAGATAATATATATGAAAAATCACAAAGATTGTTTTCCTGTTACAGAAAAACTTCTCTAATATGAGTAACATCGAAGGTCGGTCAAAAGTACTCATTATTGACAGGTTTTCAGTTTCTTTTCTTTGTTTTCAACCTATAAGTATTCAGTTACAATCGCTTGTCTGCTGCACACAAGGTCATCTTTTTATTAAAAAGAAAAATGATGAAACATTACACCATGTACTGTTGTTGTTAAATAATATTGTTTGTTTTTTTCTTTTAAATATCCACGACTAGTTCATTCGTTTTTTCCTATGTATCTCATGATTGTTTATCATAACATAATACACATAACACCATGTTTTTCTCGTTTTACGTGTGAGAGAGACAAAGCATATGTTGCTCACATTACAAAGGTTGTTATTATTCATGGGACTGGAAATAAGAATACACTATTCAGAATAAAGAGATACTCTCATATCGAGAGGTTCTATTGTATATTGATTCTTAATTTCACTTGTTACATGGCTTCCTATCGCCATACTTGACTTAATTGCTCGCAGCATAGTGGCGCATAAAGAACAAGCTGCAGTAACAGCTAATGATGATAGTACTTTATCGAATAAATAAAGTTTTCTAATAAAGAACAATCTTTTTATATGTTTACAATTATAAGTTGTTGAGTAAAAGTAAAAAAAAAAATATTTCACTTTCATCATGATGGTTGAACTAGTTGATTAAACAATATTGAGCTTTATGACAAGTATTGAACTATAAATTCTAAGTAAGAACTTATAGAAATTTTGATTGAATTTGTGACATAAAACTTTTATTGAGTAACAGAAACATGAGTACAATTGTAAAACTTCATAGAAAGAACTAATAGCCGCATATTAACTACAGATGTTTCTCCTAATCAAAATCAAATAAGAAAATTCAATACATATTAGCCTTCATAATATCTACAACATAGATCATATTAAAGATTGTAGAAACAGTATCAAATTTTTGACAATTTTTCAAATATCTGATTACAATCATTTTTGAGACACTGCAAATATCTCTTAGAACTTTCTCATATCGAGAATCTTGATAATTTACTCAACTATTCTGTTTTGTATTTTATCTGCTCTCATTGTTTGCTATTATCATTTAATCATTATAGTATCATTTCCATTAATCCACTGTCCTATATCGTGAAAATTTTACTAATATATTACCTTTCTCGAAGGTCACAACAAAACTATCCGCGGTACGATCGGATATCTAATTTGTAGCGGCAACTCTTACTTGAGATGCCTGATTCGAATTTAGATATAAATGAAGATTCAATTACAAAAGAAAAAACAAACATTTCTAAAATGAATGAAAAAAAAAGAAGTAAGCTGACTCGTAACTATAGCTAAATCAGAATACCAAAAGAGAAATTTTATCATATTGTAAGAACGTGATGAGATGCAGATACAGAAAGCATTGAATAGTGACGATGCTATGAATGTGCGATTAGAGGACATATCATCATCTAAAGGTTCTAGGAAGAAGACATTGATAATGTGTCATTGAGCCGAATTACGACAATAATATGCTTGAAATATTAGCCTTCTTTTTTAGCATTTATATGGATGAGTTTTATAATGATATATTTGGTTTATTTTTTGGATCAGTTACTTTTCTGAAGGTGATTAACGTCACCGCGACAGTTATAAGATATTTTATTTGTTACTGATATCTTTCTATCACTTTGTCGATGTAAAATGAAAATAATTTTTTTTACGCCATTGTTTTAAACAATCTTTTTAATAAATAAAGATGCATATATATTATGCACTCAACATAATATTTAGTACTTGATTTCATGCAATGAAGATCTACATCAGAGACAAGATTAATCTAGACTTTTGACGACTGGTACCTGTATCAATACCAATTTCATCTATGAATAATATCATTGTCATAGGCATGAACACAGATTTATGCATTGAACAAAAAAAATCATTTCTATTCTTATAGAAATATTTTAGTAAAGACTCAAATGAAATATAAACTCTCTTAGAATTACAAGATTTATTTTCTTAATAGATTTAAAATTAAATATAAAAATATATTAAATCCAGCTGTGGTCCGATCGGAGGTGTTATATGTCGATGAATGTTATATGAGATGCAACTATTAAAGATGCCATGTCTCACAATAATAATGATAGGCAATGACAATGATGAGAGAGAAAATCAGAATTGAATGTGAAAAAAGATCCAACGATATATTTAATAAGCAGAAAGAGATCAAGATAAGGTGACAATCAAAGAGAGATTAAAGAATATGAGAGAAGAAGTGAATGAAGAGAGAAATGTGAGTAAAAGTGAATGAATATGTGTCTGAGTGAAGAGTGAAATATGAATAAAGAGAGAAAAGTGAATGTAACTAATGAAAAATAAAAACATATCAATATCAAAATATAAAGCGCGAACAACAAGAAACGAAGAGAAATTACCGAGCGAAACAAATGCACATACATAATAAACATCAAAGCAAAACGTCAGTAACGATTGTACCATCACACACAGATATGTAGCACTCCGAATTGCGGAAATTTTTTTCTTTTTTTCCCATCACAAATGATATTGTCTCTTTACATTCTGTTAGAGAAAAGATATCCTTCTTTTGCAAAAAATCACGATTACTCCACCCCCCCCCCCCCCCCCCTCTCCAATATTGATTGCTTTCGAACCATTACTGATTAAATTTATTGTTTAATATTAAAGAAGAAAATCGAAAATTAACTTATTTAAACACACAAGTAAAACGTAACTATATTAATTCAATCGTAATTGTCTACAAATATTTCTATATATAGAATTTCATTGATATTTTTGCTTCATTCCACAGCGATTCATCGATAAACTAAAAATCAATAATCTTTTCATATTATCGAGATTCCATCAAAAATTGAACAAACATACCAAAATTCTACATAATCCTTAACGTAATGATTATGTACAAAAGTTTTATCTTATCCTAGATCAAACAATTATTCATGTAACATTTTCTCCTATGGTTTTTTTTTTTGAAATACATCACTTCAAATATAATTTTCTTCTTTTATATTATTAATTTGATAGTTTTGAATTTTTCTAAAAATTATCATGATCTTTAATTTCTACTTTATTTTCACAAAAAATAGATGTAACACTTTTTTGTTTAATTTTTTAAATACATTCTCAAATTTAATAAATAATAAGATACGTTCTATAGGTAGTTTGTTTTTTTTTTGTTAAAGTTAATACACAATATAATGATAAAAATATCACTGATAAATTAATAAAATAAAATAATCGTTATTATTTGTTTTTTTTTTGTTCAAACATTTTTTTTTTCTTTATAAACTACTAAACTTCTCTTTTAAACAATTTTTGGGTCGATTTCTTTTCTCTAGTGTGTTAGAAGAATTTTTTCATATAGAATTGAACGGACAACAATAATAATAAAAAAAACAATTAATATAGAGCAAATATAATAAACAGCGAGAAAAAAAAAAGGAAAATAGGAAGAAAAACATGACTAGTGAAGAAATAACAACGTCCATTTCACTGTGAAATATGTATTATATATATATATGTATATATATCATTCAATTGAAAGTTAATATACAATCAAGTATGATATCTACCATTAGTATTAGAAGGCGGTGTCATCTTCTTATAGTTTCTATTATTTTCTTCATAAGATGTTTGTTCATCATCATCAATTTGATCAGTTACAAATGTATTATCAACTTCTTCACTACCTTCAATATTACCATTTTCTTCTTCATCACGATCATCTATACGAAATACTTCCATTAAATTTTGTATAATTTTTTCTAAATAATTATTTCCACCTAATATATCTATTTCATCATAAACTTGTTTTGATAATTCATCACATGTTTTTTGTGTATATTCAATTGAACCAAAATCATGTAATAATTGAACACAATAACGTTTTAATTCAACATCTTGTGTACGTTGTTTTAATATATGTATTATACGTGTATCTGTTTCACGTGTATTAACAGCATGTAATATTGGAAATGAAAATTTTCCTTCAGTTAAATCTTCACAATATGATTTATTACTTGCATATTCTTCCGATATTAAATTACAATAATCATCACGTATTTGAAATAAAAGTGATAATAATTGACATAATCTATCAAAATTATATGTATTACGTATTTCTATTGGTGCAAATAATTGCATAAGACGTACACCTAAATTAAATAGACCACCACATTTTCTCATAACCATTTGACGATATTCATCTTCAGATGGTGATACAAAATTATCACGCCACCA